ATGAAATTCAGAGCATTCCCCACAAATGATTTGATTGATCTTTCCAATGAAGAGAAGGCAGAAAGAATGTTTTCAGACTTCCAAACACCGCTTGCTTCAGCCACACGCCTGGAACAAGGAGCCGTGGGAGGAAAAACGGATGAAATACTCTTACAGAGGCTTCAGGAGGAAGATAACAAAAAGCTGCTTTTGAAGGCAACGTGCTGCAATTAAGGTCAGTGACATCTCCTTCTGAATATGCATGCTCTCAAACAGTCCTCCAAGAACCTTTTGAATTTGAAACGCTTGGTGCAAGGCCAAAGTTTTCACAAACTGCTGAGCATTTCCCCCCCCCCCACAGAAAAAGAAGTAATCTATTATTCTCCTCAAAGCTCTGAGCTCACCCAGCGTGAGAAAGCTATAAGAAGCTATCATGACCATATAAATTTTTTTGAACATGAGCTATCCCAGGCAAAAATGGCTTTATCTATGCTTGAGTCAGATAAGAGAGAGTCTCGTGCTTTTAAAATTCCTGAAACTGCCATCTTAGCTTCTTCTTCAAAGCCTAAGACACACCACCTAGAGGATATTGTGTCAGGCAAATCAGAACAGAGAGCTGTGTACACGTCACAATTGTCACATGACGTTCTCTCTGATCAAATTACATATCATGCCACGAAGGCAGAAAAATTATCTGAGCTGCCCGAAACTAAAGGTGCAGCACCATCTGCTGGCAAAAGTAATTTACTAGAGAAAGCTCAAATGCAACAACCCCAAGCTTAAGCTCAAATGGCAGCTGGAGCACAGCAAATTCCTATACAGCAGCCACATTTTCAAGTGCGTACACAAATGCCTCCAGCCGTGCAACCAGGACCATTTGTTGGTCCACAACAAGCACAGCAAATACCACAGGTATTTTTACCGGCACAGCCAGCATACCAAATGCATGTTCCTCAACAGGCCTTTTCTGTTGCTCCACTAGCTGGTGAGTCGAAATTAAAGATGTCAGGAAAGAATTATAAGGCCTGGGTCAGTGAGATTGGATTGTTACTTCGTAGAGAAGGTACTCACTGTATGGTTTTTAATCCTCCTGCTCAGCCATGGACTCCTGCAATAAGAGACTTAGAGATTAAAGCTTGCACAACATTATTGATGTCCATGGATACTGAACTGCAGGTCACCTTTCCACCTGATGCAACAGCCCAACAAATTTTGGGTCCAATTGGAAAATTACTACAGGCCTATTTCAATTGAATCTTCATGTTTGCTCATGTCTGAGTTCCATGGTTCGAGATTGAAACCTGGTGAACAAATTGGAGGACATTTAACTAAACTGAAAGAAATCAGAAGAGAATTGAGAGAAAGAGGCTACCCTATTGATGATATTCAAACGATCAGCATTATTATTAACTCACTGAATTATGAATGGAAAGATGCCATTACAATCTAGTACCTATTGCTCAACGCACAGTGGATCATATATGCAGACTTTTAATTGAAGAAGAAGCACTCATGTTAGCCACGCCACATTTGAGAGGACCACCCGCATCAAGAGCTCCAGCGAGGCGTCCCTTCCGAGGAAGATCCTATGTTCCAAGGATGCCAAGATGCTACATCTGTAATTGTGTGGGACATGCCACCCGGGATTGTCCCCAACGAGTTCCAGCTCCTATCTCGTACCAGCCCAGAGGAACAGATTCCAGAGGAGGCAGAGGCAGAGGCGGAAGACAAGGTCGCCGTGGTCCCAGGCATGATCCACAAGCTCCACTTGCCACATTGGCGTTAACCAACGATCCACAGCCTCATCCAGAGTACGACAGACGACTCCTATGGACTTTGGACAGTGGTGCAGTGTTGCATGTTACCTACAGAAAGGAACTTTTCACAGAGATGCACGAGCCCGAACCTGAACTACGTGAACTTTATTCTTTTTCCAATCATCCTTGTCAGGTCAAAGGAAAAGGAACTGTTTATGTTGAAGAGCTCGATGCATTCATTCCTGATGTTTATTATATACCAACAGCAAATAGTAATTTGCTTAGTCAGAGTCACTTATCTAGAATGTTAAAGTTCCAGGTTCACCACCTCGAAAAAGCAAGTTACATAGTTAAAGATGGAGATATTATTGCTGAAACCATGTTAATTGGTGGTGTTTATTACTTAAAGCCAAAGCCTAAATCACAAGCACAGGCAAGAATACAGACTCCAAAAGGGGAGAGCACAGGTCCAGAGAGAGATGTTCCAGAGAGAGATCCTGTTGCCACTCCAAAGGCTCTTAAAGCCAACAAAAAGAAAATAAGGAAACAGGTTGCTCAGAGCAAGCCTGAGGTTCCTCATAAAAATGTTAATGTTGAGAATTCACTAACTGGTAAACCTTTGCATTCCAGGTGTATCCATAAATGACATAGAAGATTGGGGCATGCCAGTTTCCGTGTTCTTAGGAAGATGCCGGAGTTCGCAAAAGGTTTGGATCTAAAGGGGTGTAAGGTGTTTTTGGATTGTGCTGTCTGCAAGAAAGCCAAATCCAAAGCAGCAGCAATTCCCAAACGCGCTACCCGCCTGTCAACACGCATTTTTGATTTGGTTCATACTGATATAGTTGGTCCTTTTCCGTCAACACTTGGTGGTAGAAAATATTTCCTAACAATTGTTGATAATTAATCTAGATATGGATATGTATATCCTATGAAAGAAGGATCTTTCAGATATTTAAAGACTTTGCAGCTCTTGTTTCTACCCAACACCAAGTTCGCATCGCCAGAATCCAGAGTGATAGTGGTGCTGAATTCATGTCTCAGCGCTTCCAGGACTGGATGCGTAAGAATGGAATTCTTCATCAGACATCAGCTCCTTACACACTGGCTCACAACAGAGTCGTAGAACGACGACAAGGGGTCCTGCAAACCATGATGCGTTGTCTCCTAGAAGACGTCAACCTTGGTAACCCATACTGGGGTGAAGCTATCAAATATGCAAATTACATTGTCAACCGTACTTGGAGTAGTGTAATAAATCAGACTCCTTTCTTCATGATGTACGGGTACAAGCCCAATCTCAAAAACATCCATATTTTTGGTTCATACGCTACGGTGAACATTCCCTTAGCTCAAAGAAGAAAAGGAGGTCCAGCAGCAAAGAGACTGAGATTTATGGGCATTGATGATAACTCAAAATGGAGCAAATTTATCAACTCCAAACATGTAATTGTGATTTCCCAATCTGCTAATTTTGAGGAAGATGTTGACTGGTCCAGGATTCATTCCAATGATCCTGAAGTTTATTTTCCTAGAGATTATACTGCTGATGCCACACAGCCTGATGATCAAGATTCCACTGGTTCTTCTCAACCTGATGTTCCGTCTTCGCAAGCCGCGGATGCTGACGCTAGCAACGAATGTGAGGACGAGGACGAAGCAGAAGAAGAATGGACTGTTGTTCCGAGACGTTCCAAGAGGGTCACAAAGGGAATCCCTCCACAACGATATTCGTGGCAACTGACAAAATCACCCTTGCCTTTGATTTGCAGTGTTACACTTCCACCTGATATGTTCATACAAATCAAACATCTTCTTGATTCAGAGCAAGACAAATGGTATGAGGCAATGCAGGCTGAAATGGACAGTCTAAAGAAACTTAAAGTATTTACACCTGCAAAACCTCCAGCAAATAAAAGGGTCATTGGCACTCGATGGGTCTACAGAATCAAAAAGAAGCCAAATGGTGAGTCATTGTACAAGGCCAGACTTGTAGCTCAGGGTTTCACTCAACGTTATCCTGAGGACTACACAAATACCTATTCACCGACAGTCCAAACTGAGAGTGTAAAAATTGCTTTAACAACTGCAACTATCCTTGGTTTAGAAGTTTTCCAGTTCGATGTTGACACGGCTTATCTACATGCTGACCTAGATGAAGAGATCTACGTGAGAGGTCTTCCAGGGTTCCAACAGCAAGAAGGGGATACCTGGTTTCTAAACAAAAGTCTTTATGGTCTGAAACAGTCTGGTTTAATGTGGTACTTATGTCTTACTGACAAACTAAATTCAATGGGCTTTATTAAGTCTGAAACTGATGAGTGCGTGTTCACAAAAAGATCTAACAATACATATGAGATAGTTCTTGTTTATGTTGATGATATTGTTTACATTGGTCCAAATAAGCAAATGAGTGAAATTTTTGCCAAAGCTTTGCAGAAATATTTCACATTGAAATCTTTAGGTCATGTTAGCACTTAGTTAGGTGTTCAGATTGAAAAAACACAGAAGGGGTTTAGTTTTTCACAAGAAGATAAAATTGAACAAATTTTGCATCATTGCAATATGAAGGATGCTAACACAACAAACACACCCATGCAAACAGATTTTCACAACTTGACACATGAAGCAAGTCCTGAGTTCGAGGATCAAACACTTTATCGTTCAGTTATTGGGTCACTGTTGTACATTAGTAGTTGGACCAGACCCGACATTGCACTTTTTTTTTTAAATTTGATTTATATGCCACCCTTCTCCGGAGACTCAGAGCGGCTTACAATGCGTTAAGCAATAGCCTTCATACTTTTGCATATTTATACAAAGTCAGCTTATTGCCCCCACAAACTGGGTCCTCAATTTACCTACCTTAGAAAGGATGGAAGGCTGAGTCAACCCTGAGCCTGGCGAGATTCGATCTTACTTTAATTGCAGACAGCTGGTGTTAAATTACAGTGCTTCTGTCTGTTGAGCTAAACCAGGCATTTAGTGTTAATCTCCTATCTTGACACGTAGGTAAGGCAAACATGCGTTATGAAATTATTGAGATATCTAAAACACACTAAACATATGAAGTTATTGTTAGAACCAACACATACTGATAATTCTTCATAATTATGTTGTTCTGCAGATTCTGATTGGGCAAGTGATAAGAAATCACGTAAAAGTACTTCAGGTTATATGATGTTCTTAAATGGATTTATTGGCAAGTGCGTAAACAGAATTTTGTTTCTTATTCATCTACTGAAGCTGAATATGCTTGTGTTTCAGATGCGTGTAATTCTCTAACATGGTTTGATGCTTTGGTCACAGATATCTCGACACACCCGATCCGACCAATAACCATGATGGAAGACAATGAATCGGTGGTTTATATTTCTGAATCACATTTCACAGGTTCTAGGTCCAGACACATTGACATCCGTTATCAAAACATAAAACAATTAGTGAAGCAAGGTTTTGTTAAATTGCAGTATGTATCTACACATGGTCAAATTGCAGACATGCTCAACAAACCACTTCCAGCAGCTCAACACGAGTATCTGCGTAAGAAGATGTGCCTTATTTGATGATGTACCTGATGTTCGCTCAGCTGACAAAGAAGGGGATTGTCACTGCATTTTTTTGTATTTGTCAGCTGGGCTCCCATTCTGAGACTTATGGTAGACTGATTTGACTCTTATCTCAGAAGCCACTGCACATGTCCACATTCTTTCACATTCTTTCACTTTCTTCTAACTTTCTTTGTTCGCCTGCCAAGAGGCAAGGCAGGAACGCTGCCAAGATGTAATTAATTAGCTAGTAAGGTGTTTTTACTTCTTTATAATAAAATGTGTTTCTTAGAATGTATCTCGGGTTTGTTTTCTTAAAAGTATACTTCAAGGAAAAAGCCACGGTCCCGTCTTTAATCAAGGTGCAATTACCCAAAGCGGAATGGGATTAATTGCCACCCTGACACTCTTTGGGCCCCTTGCTGTGCCTCCCTGCCACCCTGTCACAGCAGTGGCATGGTCAGAGCCTTAGTGCGGAAGTGAAACACCCCTGCACTTGTCTTTGCGTGGCAACAGCATTCTGCCTCTGTTGTGGTAAATTTGCTGTTGCCGCCAGCAAAGAGGGCTGGGAGAGAACAGTGGGGGTGGATCTTGCAGGGTGGGGGCCATCCCCCAAGTCTGGCCTTCCTCCTCCCTTGTCGGTGGGGAGAAGAAAAAGAAGGGGGTGGCGTGAGGAAACGCTTCCCCCCGCCAAGCACCGAGCTCAACAGCCCAGTGGGGTGGGGGGGAGATGGCCCGGCAGAAGCGCCCCCATTATAAATTGGATGGCGGAGAGGCATGGTCCGGCTCTCACAGCAGGACGCTCTTCGCCGCCTTTGAAACGCGTTGCCCTTCTTCCCCAAATCTCTGCTCTTTCGCACCAGCGCGAGCTATGTTTCTGCTTGTGCCTTCACCGGGCAGCAATGGCTGGGGCCGTGGGGTGGGGGCAGCAGAGGCATCAGGGCTTTCCTCCCCTCAGCAAGCCAGGCCTGGAGGAGCACGGAGAGTTATGGGCGAGTGCCGGAGGATCAGAAGATGTGCTCCAAAGTCGCCCCAACTCGCGTTTCCAGCGTGCACTCCTCTGTCCTGAAGTAGGATTGAGTGGGTGGAAGGGGGGAGGGAAGAAGCCCCGGCTGGATTTCCTTTGGCCTGGGGTGGGGGGAAGACCCAATATCCCTTCCATGGCCTGCCTGCTGCTCTCACAGCGCCTTGCAGCACAGCGAAAGCATGTTTCAAAATGGGGGAGATTGGATCCCCTCCTCCTCCTGGAGCCCATTCCCTGCCCCACTCGCCCCTGGTAGCGCTCTCTCTCTCTCTCTCTCTCTCTCTCTCTGTGTGTGTGTGTGTGTGTGTGTGTGTGTGTGTGTGTGTATCTCTCGCTGCCCGTCTGTGTCCCTTCTCACTCTCAGAAAGAGTATGTGCTTTCCTTGGGGCTTTTTGTTACCTGTTTTTCTTTCTTCCTTTTGGAAAGCCAGGCTGGCTGAGCAACAAACGAACCCGTGATGGAGGCTTCACTCCTCCTCCCCCTCCCCCTTTCATGCACACCCTCTCAGCCCTGCCACAGCTGGCCAGGGAGTCGCGAGAGGAGGAGGAGGGGGAGGAGGGAAGTCTCTGCTGAGGGTTTGTTCGCTCCTCAGCAGCCAGGATTTCCAAAAAGAAGAAAGAAAAGCGGGTAACAAAAAGCCCCAAGGAGAGCACACAGGACTTTCCGAGAGAGTGAGAAGGGACACAGAGATGGGGAGCGAGATACACACACACACACACACACACACACACACACACACACACATACACAGAGAGGGGGGGGAGAAAGCAAGAGAGGGAAAGAAAGAATGAGAGAGAGAGAAATAGAGAGAAAAAGAGAGATGAGAGGGAGACAGAAAAAGAAATATGACAAAGTGAAAGAGACAGAGAGAAAGAGAAATGAGAGAGGGAGGAGAGGAAGATAGAGAGAGAGGGTGATAGAGAGGGAGATAGAGAGAAAAAGAAAGACATGTGAGAAAGAGAAAGATGAGAAGGAGAGGGACATAGAGAAAGAGAAATGAGAGAGAGGGAGAAAGATGAGAGGGAGGGAAAGAGAGGGAGATACCTATTTCCCATTGCAAACATGGGGAGTCACAAAACCTGGGTAGGCATGCCGGGGGTGTGTGTGTGTCATGTGACTGGGTGGGAGTGAGTGACGTTGAGTTGGCCATGCCCACCCAGGTTTTGTGGCTCCCCGTGTTTTGTTTTCTGCAAGGAAAAAGGCCCAAAGGTGAATTTGAGTGTTTAAGGTTGCAGACCCCTGGTCTAGGAGGAGGAGGAGAGGATTTAGACGTGCAGGAAGGAAAGCAGCTGCGATCCACCATTTTGCAATGAGGTCTCCCCCAATGATGCTGATGAGGCACCGAATTGGTGTAACAGTCTTATGGCAGCCTCAAACCGATGATATGGCTTGTTTGGAGGCAATGCGCTGCTGCAAGGTCATTTAAAGGTGGCGCAGAGCCGACGGAACAGCTCCTGAAGTGCCCAAAACAATTGTCTCAAAATGGCACAAAGCTGACAACACAGCTCCTCAAGCACTCGAAATATGTCCCAAAATGGCGCGAAGCTGACAAAATAGCTCCTCAGGCGCCTTTTATCTCTGCCACAGAATGGCGTGGAGCCAACAACACAGCTCCCAAGCGTCAGAACAAATGCCCCAAAATGGCATGGAGCCGGCAGCACAGCTCCCAAGGTGCCAAAGAGCAAGGGCTAGGCAGGAGAGAGCTCAGCTCCGACACCATGGAGCTTGGCTCAATCCCCTAAGTGCGAAGCTGGCAGCACAGCTTCCCCCGTGCTCCTTAGTAGACTCACAGTTGGTTGTTCCAGTCTGATCAGATAAGGCTGTCAAATCCATGCGGCGATATGCCGATCTTGCTGAAATGGAGTCAGAAACGCCACCAAAGAAGCGGCTCAGCTGAGTGGTGCTCGGCTGAGCGCGAAGCTACAAGCCACCGCCTTCTCAGCAAACCTCCAGCAGGAGCCACAGTAATAAAACAGTTTGAAATTCTCCAGAAATGCAATGTTAGAAAGTCCAAGCAATGGAGCTACAAGAAAAAAAGTCTCTTAAGGCCAACTGAGTTAACAAACTGGAGCTATACAGGAAGAGGAGGTGTGTTTAAACAAATGTCAACTCAGTCTCTGGCCAATCAGATGGGGATAACCCATTGCTTGGACTCTCTAAGCAGTGCACAGGAGAAACATCGCACACACACAAGCGTGCATGCACAAGGAAACCGGTAGCAACAGAATTTGAAACCCACTACTAAGGTATAGGTATATTCTGGCCTACAGCTAATCTTCTGGGATTTGTATGACTAATAAAGGAGAATATTTGTAGCTCAGGGTTGACATGAGGGGTTCTTGGTACTTTCTGAGCTTGCTTGTTTTCTTGCAGATGTTTCATTATCCAAACTTGGTAACATCATCTGTGCTAGTAAGGAATGCTGGTTGTGGTCAGTGTATATTCTCATGGCTTGCCTTATATAGTGGAGGTGATCTTAAAGATTCTTTGGTTGGGCTGGTTAACTGTTGGTTCTTTCGCAGTTTCTTGATTGGGATATAGTTTACTTGATTGTAAAAATCAAGCCACCAGAATATAAACTGACAGCAAGTAGCACTTCTCACTAGCACTGAAAATGTTATCTAGTTTGGGCAATGAAACATCTGCAAGAAAACAAATAAGCTCAGAGAGCACTAAAGACCCCTCATGTCAACCCTGAGCTACAAATATTGTCCTTTATTAGTACCACATATGGGTGTCAAACGCTTCAGACAGCACGTAAACGGGAAAAATTTGCCTGCAGGCACACTTCCACAAAAGAACAGCTTTTCTTCCTGCATGAATGTCTATGACAGCATGCTCTACCTACTAGTGTTAGATATAAGCCTCCAATCAATTGCACATCTGGATGGAAAATAGCCCATGAAAAGTGAGCGAAAACTGATATGGTTCATGATCACAGATGCACACTTCAGATTGAACAATTATCTGCACACCATAGCAAACCTCAAAGAACAGTTGGAACAGACTGTCACATCAGAGCACATGGAGAGTCTGGCCACTACCATCATGAATATATTCCATAGACATGCTGGGAAAAGAAAATCCAGACTACAAAACTGGTTATGGGGGCGTGCACCTGCTGTCTTCGAGCGGTGGCGCGCTCCGGCCCCCAATGCTCCTTGCCACGCAGATCCTCAGGGCCTGGGCCTTTGGCTGATGTTGTGCAACGCCGGGTCCGTTGTAAATAAAACCCCCCTCATTTGTGATTTTGTTCAAGAGGGGGGAGCCGACCTGGCGGGTATTACGGAGACCTGGTTGGGCCAGGAAAGGGGGTTCCCCTTGTTGAAATGTGCCCACCAGGCTTCCGAGCATTCCATCAGCCGAGGATTCAGGGGCAGGGCAGGGGGGGGGTTAGCGGTTGTTATAAAGGAAGGTCTTGGTCCGAAGGAGGCCACTGTGCCTCAGATAGCTGGATGTGAGTCCCTCTTTGTGGTCATGGGTGCAGGTGGGCCTGCTGATCATGTACCTGGCTCCCTGCCACATGGCGATGGCCCTGCCTGAGCTGCTCAGTGTGATAGCTGGGATGGCGGTTGATACCCCCAGACTTATGGTTATGGGGGATTTCAACCTGCCGTCTGTTGGTGAAACGTCTGAGGCAGCTTGGGAGTTCATGGCTTCCATGATGTCCATGGACCTGACCCAGTTAGTTCATGGACCTACACACATGGGGGACACACTCTGGACTTGGTTTTCATTTCTGGCCAGTGGCTAAATGGTTTAGATATAGGGGATGTAGCGATTAAACCCTTGTCATGGTCCATTCTCTCCTTCAACTTGACCTTCAAAACACTACACCCCGCCGCAGGGAGGTGGAACTGACTAGGTGGTTCTGCCCCAGGCACCTGATAGAGCCTGATAGGTTCCAGACGGAGCTTGGGCCATTCCCTGAGGCTCTGGCTCACAACCTGGCTGAAGACCTGGTGGCTGCCTGGGATAGGGTGGCCGCTGGAGCTTTGGACTGTGTCGTGCCTTTGTGGCCTCTGACCTGCCACCGATCTCACTTAGCTCCCTGGTTCTCCGAGGAGCTGAGGGAGATGAAGCACCGGAAAAGACGCTTGGAGAGCAGTTGGAGGGCTAGCTTTTCCGAATCCGACCGGACACTGGTAAGGTCTCATATTAAGACCTACCTAGTGGCGATAAAAATGGCAAAGCTTAATTATTTTTCCATTATCACATCTGCAGATAACCGCCCAGCCGCCCTGTTCAGGATGACCCGCTCCCTGCTCCATCCG